TTTTTTTTTTTTTTTTTTTTTTTTTTTTTTTTTTTTTTTTTTTTTTTTTTAATGATTCGACACGACGATGAAATGATGATTAGGCATGCTCGGCCCAACGGCGGTGTTTATTTGGTTTTATTTGAGTCATACTATCTACCTAACCCAATACCTATACGTCAACAATGTGGCTTCAAACCACATCGGACAATTCGAATACATGAGAGTTATTCTTGTCTTGATAGAATTAATGACAACAAAAAAATCTGAACTGTGATTAAATCGCTTGGCTACGTCTTAAAGAGTATGGAAGGGGGTAGGACAAGTTCAAATCACTTACAATAAACAATTTGTAAGATCCCACATCGATTGAAGTGGAGAACAAAGCGTTCCTTATAAGAGTGTGGAAATCTTTCCCTAATAGACGCGTTTTAAAACCGTGAGGTTGACAACAATATGTAACGGTCTAAAGCGAACAATATCTGTTAGCAGTGGGCTTGGACTCTAATCTCGTGATATCCCACATCAATTATGAAAACCCCTCCCTAGCATATGCATGTTAAAACTGTGTGTAACAGGTCAAGCGTATAATATCTGTTAGCGGTGTGCTTAAACTGTTACACGACTCTCCAAAAGAAGGAATTAATGGATTAGGAACCGATGATAGTAGTAGTTGAGGCAAAGTACACTTTCGAGTTTGTTTATTAAAAACGAACCCATTAAAAAAAGAATTTCGATTAATCACTAGCTCTACAATATTCATATACAAATAAAAGAATAACAATTAGGATCAAAATGATTATTTTTTTAAAAAAGTAAATCGTAATAAAACTTATGATAATAAAATTGTTAATTAATATGAATATATTAACTAATTTACTTTATGATATTAATAATTATTATTTTTATAGTATTTTATTTAAATTATACTATTTTATAGCCCTTTCCCAGGAGGAGAAAATTCAAGCATAAAATATTATGAGGTAATTTATTTATTTTCTTTATATATATATATATATATATATTATAATTATTAGGTAGATAAAGATAATTTATATCAATAATTTAATGGGTTGCCATTAGAATATAAATAGGTTTTTAGGGTTAGTTGATGTCGTTTATTGATTCAATAAAACAATTTTATGATGTAAAGGAAAACCTAACAATTAAACAATAATCAATTATATATATATCGCAAATATTTAATTATCTGCCTATATTTATATAATATTCAGTGTCTAATGACTCCGACATTCTTCTACGACATGGTCACGTTAGTATTTTTAAGAGTGAAAATTATCTCTACAGACCAACACGTATCATTTTAACCTGTTTTGTCCTCACCCACAAATTTTTTTTTTAAGAGCTCATAAAAGAAAAAAAAAATTGTACGTTGTCGGTATAAATAGTAACTATCAATTTTTTAAATAATTTTTAACGTTCAGATTTCAACGTACTTATTTTACTAAAAAAAACATGTTATATATATATATATATATATATATATATATAATTAAGATTTATTTATATGAAAATATTAATTACTTATACCAAATATGCTTAATTTAATATTTAAAGACATAACCATCTTTCTTTTTATATTCAAAGACTCTAACCCCACCCATAATTGTAACTTAATCATTGATAACTTTGTTGGAGTCAAATATTATCTCATTTCCGTATTAGAAGTTTTATTATTTTTTTTTAGGTCAATAACCGATCAATATGGTGAAAATTAACATAACTCAATGATAATCAACACGTAATTGGTCGATCAAATGTTTGATTTTTTGGTCTAGATATTGTTGAATGAAAAAAAGTCGCTATACACTTAGAGCACAAAAATACTTAGTTTACATAGCGATAATGTCATTAGGGTCGAAATATCTAGGGACGTTCTCTAGGTGGTGTGTTATTGGAGCTATTCTTTAATAACCCTTGAATGTATCTTTAAAAAAAAATGGTTTAAAATGGGCGTCCTCTCTGTTTTGGCTCGACCAACACCAAGTGACTTGGGAGAGAGAGAGAGTAGCATAAAAACAACTCAAAAGGTGTAATTCTTCATTCCAATGGGTGCCAGGCTAACATGGATTCTTCTCATAAATCATAAACATTGAATATGCAACCAACAAGCCGAAGGGGTCTTCTCAAATCCCATTTAGTTTTGATTCTTAATATCATTAACTCTTCTGATCATTCTCCTCCCCCTTCGCCGCCCTCTTTAAATCAACACCCACCACCGTCCACGGCGGCTCACGACGGCCATATCTCAATTGAGGAGATTTTTCGTTTATTTGGGTTTCTCAATCATCGCAACCCCATCATCGTTTTTGTTGTTGAAACCAGAAATTCTGGCTTGCTTCTCAAGAAACACCTTATTTGATTCATGGGTTTTGCTTCTTCTCAGTGATGGAGCTAAGGAAAAACTGGTACGATTCTAACTTCTGGGTGGTGTTTTTTTGCTTATTGATGTTGATTTCGTGCTCTGTTTCGTATGAAGATGCCGATTCTTTTAGTGGGTTTGTTCATAAATATGCCAATAACTCTGAATCAAAGCCTAGAACAGGGGTTTTATATAACATCTCTCTGCCTTCAAATTTTTCTGGGATTCAAGTTTCCTATATTAGATTAAGGAGTCGCAGTTTTTGGGTTAGAGGAGCAAATTTGAGATGGGTTTCTTTTCCTCCAAGAATCACTTCAATCCCTCGTGTAAAGAGAATAGCTATGATCTTTGAGAATTTGGGGAATTGGTCATCAAATTTCTATAAACTGCCTGGTTATACTCTTGTTGCTCCTGTAATTGGGTTCACTGTTTATGATTCTTCTTCAAATTCAAGCACATTTAGCAGCCAAAAGCTCCATCTACGCATAACAGGAAGTAACCCCATTTTGGTGATGTTTCCTAAACTACAATTGGGAGAAAATGGTGAGATTAAGCCACAATGTGTGAGGTTTGGAGCTGGTGAGGCTTTTGAATTGAAGAACATGACAGGGCCAAGCTTGTGTTCTGCTACTGATTATGGCTATTTTTCTCTTGTCATTCCAAATCCAAAGGAGAAGAAGAAGAAGAAGAAAGGCATGTTGTGGGCATGGTGGGTGGCTGGGTTTGGAGGTGGGTTGGCTGTGTTAGCTTTGATGGGTTTAGTTTTAGTAGCAATTTTGAGGTTTGTGAGGAGGAAAAACCTTAAGTATATGGAGAAAGAGTCTGAATTTGGGGAGAGTTTTGATACTATTTGGATCGGAAAAAGTAGAATGCCTTCTGCTTCAATGGTAAGAACACAACCCGCTCTTGAAAATAGCTATGTTTCTTGATTTCTTTTATGTTTCTACATTTGTTCTTGATGTGTTCATAGCTTCACATCGTTTCAATAAGATCATTCTTAAGTT